TACTTGCGGGTTTTTGACCGGTATAGTATAGACGGGTCTATTGCGGGTTTAAAGTAGCACCCAACCTTCACGGCTCGAAACCCATCGTAATTTAAAAAAGTTATTTTCTTTAATAATTTATAAGTTTTACGCGAAATTATTTAGAAATTGAAATGAAATGAATGACCACGTGTATAATTTTAAATTGAAACAAACATGAATAACATCAATGATAATTGTCATGAGTAAATCAAAATTAATATATTTTAACGGGATAATTACAGTTTTGGTCCCCCAAGTTTGCACGTTTTTCACTTTTGGTCCCCCATTTACCGCCGTCAACAAAATACACACTAATGTTGTCACATTTTAACACATTTGGTCCCTCCGTCTGTTTGACCGTCAAGAAGTAACGGTCAACTGTTGAATTAGGGCTGAATTTGGGATTTTTCATAGATAAAAATTGCACTCAGACCCCTGCATTCTTTTAAAATATTCTAAAAACCCCTAATATTTTATTCAACCATAATTTAACCTCAATTTCATCATTTATTCAATTTTGACAAACGACCCCGATTTTTACCAGCATTTCCGCTGACGGTTGACCGACGTTTTTTTTTTTTTTTTTTTTTTTACTTTTTTTTTCGGCATTGACTTTTTTATTTAATATAATTTTGACGCCATTCACCGACATTATATTCTAGGTTAACAATGTTGACTTTTTTTAGTTTTCTTGATTTTTTATGAACTTTTTTATTGCGACATTTTTTTCCTAATCAACACAATTACCGTAGAACACAATAATAATACTATATTAATATCTAGTATCATAATATTAAAATTACAAACTTCAAATAAAGTTTTTATCTAAAATTCTAGGGCCTAACTACGATTTAAAAAAAACCTAAATTCCATAATTTGCTCCTCTCAATTTATTCTTCGTGGAACCGCCAGTGCATCCCAAATTTCTTCCCAAAAAATATGAAGAAGATGAATTAGTCATGTGCGGAGTAATTTGGAATGAGATAACCACTCTAGTAAACGATTTTTGGGGCTAACACCGGCCGTTAATTTTTATCTTGTTTTTTTTGTCTTAAAATTTTTCCGTTACTGAGATGCGTTGACTTTTTCCTTTTTTCTTTATTTTGACTTTTTTTTTTTGCCGATTATCAGCTTTGATTTTTTTTTTAAATTATATTTTTCCATTACTCAACAATTTAAATAAAAATAAAATAAAAATCAAGAGAAAAATATCAACGATGTTAACCCGACATTCAACATCGGTCAACAGCGGCAAAAAAAATCAATCGAAAAAAGAGTCAACCGAGTTATAAAGAAAGTCAAGGTCGGATTACCCAATTTTGAAAAATCGGGGTCATTGGTTAAAATTGGTTAGTTGATGAAATTGGGGTTATATTATGGTTGGATAAAGGTTTAGAGATTTTTAGAATATTTTGAAAGAATACATGGGTCTTATTGCAATTTTCTCAAAGAAAAATCACAAATTCAGTCGTTGACTGTTACTACTTAACGGTCAAATAGACGGAGGGACTAAATGTGTTAAAATGTGACAACATTAATGTGTATTTTGTTGACGACGGTAAATGGGGGACCAAAAATGAAAAACGTGCAAACTTGGGGGACCAAAACTATAATTATCCCTATTTTAACCATAAATCCGAAAAAATAGTAACTAAATTCAAACATTTATAAGACAAGATTTAAAATAAAATAGATAATTATAGACAAAACGAAACGATGTCGTCGTTATAGATATATGTTTTGATACGTAAGAGCTACTTATTATACATTATTAATTTATTGTACTACATAATATAAACAAAACGACGTCGTTTTGTATAGCGAGACGGGACGGGTTTCACGGGTATTAAACTTTTTTGAGCCCGTCTTAGACCCAAACCCGCAGATCTTGTCCATTTCAGGACTCAATACTATAGATAGATCTATCCGTCCGGGTTTGACGGGTTCAACGGGTTGATGGGTCCGACTTGCTCACCCCTAAGTGGTGGTTCTTTTTTTCTTTTTCCAAATTTTATGGTTTTTTATTTGAATATTTCCGATTCAGGAACAACTTTTTTTATTTCGATTTTCGAATCCTAATTTCCATTTTTTTAATTGAAATTGAGATACATAAAATAAGAGATTCATTTTAATTTCAAATATTCTAATTTTGTTTTCGAAAATTGCACTCATTACATCAATACGTCTTATATATTAAAGACGAATAAAAGGATTAAAATAGATTATATCCTCCGTTTTCCTTTTCCATCCGATTTTCAAATAAAATTTTCACATTATAAAAAAATGATTTTTTTTTTCGAAAGTGCTAATTCCGATCAGACCCGTCAGTTTTTCGACCCTACAATACAACCGACTAGCTATCAATATACTATATTTTACTAAAAATGATGACTTTAGTGGGTTTGCCATGATTATGAATAGTCATTTTCTTGTTGTTAGTACAGAAAGTAGGTATTGACACAAACTGCACAGTGACCTCATTTTTCTGAGCCCATTTCATCTTATTTATATTCTTTACTACATTTAAGACCACTACATTATGGGCCTGAGAAAATTTTACAAAGGGTTTTTCTTTTTTAATATATACTTTCCCACTTCCATAATAACTGTCTGTTTTTTAAAATACTTTTGTTTCATATTATCTGTTAATTTAGATTTTCAATACTGAATTAAATGCATTTTTTCTGTTTTAACATTATTAATGAAACTCTAATCATTATTTTTCTATTATAAATCATTAAATAATAAAGGTTATTTTAGTCATTTCTATATGATTTTTCTAAAATCAAGATATATTTATTGAGTTTCTTAATCTCTATGAAAAATGAAAAGAGACACTTATTTAGGAACGCAGTGAGTATATATATATTTGATCGTAAACCTATATTCTCGTATAATAGTTTACAAATTATACGAGAGACGGTAAACCACACTAGGTTAATCATTAGTGACAAATATGAACTTATAACGACATTTGACAAAAGAATTCGAACCTGGTCAATTGACTTGGGCTTATTTGCTCCAACTGCTACGCATCTCAAATAAAACATCATTTTTTTTAATTAATTGAAATGGTCAAAATAAATAAATTGTTTGAATCTTGGGAATCTGCAGGATCCCAAAGGGATATTTCCATCACCAATCATTATTAGAAAAATACTCGGCTTACAGCTAAGCCATAATTTTATTCAACAATGTTTAAAAAATTATTTATTATTTACTATTTATTATTTATTATTTATTATTTATTATTTATTTTTGGTGTGTGTGTGTGTGTTAGTTGATTTTAAGATCCCAATGGATGAGAGGTGCAGAAAACAATGACGAGGAGGAGTGTTCTGCAGCAGCTATGCATGTGCATTTAAATATGACTTCTGCATTTCTGATTTCATATATCCAATCATTTCTCCTACTTTCTTTTTTTTTGCATATTGCCCCTTGACTTTTTCCATATCTATTTTTTTGTACTTTTTTTTAAAAATAATTTTCCTTGCTAATCAAGCACCTTCGATACTAATTCTTCTTCTTTTATTAGTCGTCGTTTTTTAGCTCTGCACGAGATTGAGTAAGGTGTCAATTGTGAATTCTTTAGTGTGTATAAAATTTGACTATTTTGTAGATGTAGTATGAATAATAAGCACATGACAATTCAAATGGTTGACAAAATTAGTAGTGAAATAAGAACTATAAAATAAATTACAATTTTTTTAGAAGTGAATAATTAATTTCGATTTCGTTGTATTTAAAAATACGGAAATTGTAATTTAAAAAAAAAATAGACAACGACAAACTTCATGTTTTTATATAGGGGCTCTTTGAGAAAACCCCCTCATTATTTTTTTTAATTGAGGGAGGCCCAAAATATTTTAGTCCATTTGAGAAAAGTCCACACCCATTTTCAGCCATTATGCTTTCCAGCTTTGCCCCCACCCGCCACATCATCACTGGGTCACGCTCAGCAATTTTTTTTTTTTTTTTTCCGTTTTTTTCTTAATCGACTATGAAGCATAGTCGATTAAGCCTTAATCGACTATGCTTCATAGTCGATTAAGGAAATTATTTAATTATTTTTTTTTTGTTTTTAATTTTTGTTTTAAAAACTATATATAACAAAAACAAAAAAAATATACAAATATTATAAATGATTTATACAATTGAAAGCAATAAACAAAAAATCCAAAAAAAATAAAAAAATTGGAGTCGGTGAACCTTAATCGACTACCAGAGCATAGTCGATTAGCTTAATCGACTATGAACATGTACATAGTCGATTAAGGTAACAGCCTGCGCGAAATTCTCTACACGCGCTTTCATCCGTTCAATCCACAAAAAAACCAAAAAACAGCCTCCCCATCGTCACCACACCACCCAGAGCTTCTGCCATGGCCGAACCCATCGGATTTTGAGCATGTTCAGCTCCACCAATTAAGAAAACTAATTTAAATTAATTTAATTTAATCCCAAAAGCAACACGCATGATTCCTCTTTCCCGCAGCTCCGGCACATCCTGCTGCTCGCCGCCGCTGAAATGCATCCGTCTCCGACGATGTTTGCGCCGTCCGATGCAGCGCTCTCCAAAACCGCCGCCGCCAGCAGACCCATCGCAATCTTCCACCCAAAACCGCCGCCGCCAGCAAACCCATCGCAATCCTCCACCCAAAACCGCCGCCACTAACAGACCCATCGCAACACCGACGACGGCGATGGATTCCTCACTCCGGCAGCTGACGCGTCCGCGGGGACGACGGCGGCGGCGGCGGCGAAATCCTCCTTACTCTCCTGTTGAGCTTTCTCTTGTTGAGCTTTCTCGCTAATTTGTGTGTGTGTTTTTGTGTGTGCGAGAGAAAGAGAGGAGAGAGAGAGAGAGAGAGAGAGAGAGAGAGAGAGAGAGAGAGAGGAGATAAGAGTGAGAATGTGATGTGGGTTGGTTGGGGGAAGAGGCTATAATTTAGGGGTAATAAGGGTGGTTTGGGTATTATTAAATAATATTTGGGTAGAATATTAGGTAAGGGGGTTTTCTCTAATTATTTTTGGGAGGGGGGGTTTTCTTAACTCATTTACCTAGATGAGGGGGGTATTGCTAATTATCCCTTTTATATAACAATGTTCATAGAACATGATCTAGCCTTTTTCCCCCTCGAGACAACGCCTCAATCTTGATAAGCTTAATTAAATAACTTAAGTGACATGATTAGACAAGATAAGTAATTTATTATAATCAGTTTGGACTTACGACCCTACCGAGGAGCGGATCCAGGGAGTTTTTCTTAGAGACAAAAAATATAAGAATGATTTAAGAGAAGATTTTGTAATTAATTTATTAATTAAGAGTGTATAAAATTGAAAATTTGGAAGGAGGAGGCCAAAATCCATAATTGATAAATGACAAATAAAAATAATAATAAAAACGTTACACGAAAGAGAAAAAGAAAAAATCGGAGCTGGAGGAGACCCCTTGCCCTGCATCCACGTTTAAGTCCGCTCCTGCCTACGGACCCATGATTTGGTTCAATGAAACAAAAATGAACCAACCAAGTGTACCAATAAAATTATAGATAAGAATTTGAAAAGATATTAATAATAAAGAATTAGGACATGACCCAAATTTAACTAACTCAAAGAAAACAATTAATCAAAGCCATGCTAATGGTTGATTTGGTGGGGGGTGTGTGGGGAGAGGGGGTCATGTGACAATCATGTTGGACTAATGGGGTAAGAGAGTTTCTTGGAACATAGTATTAGGTATAGGATTGATTAAGATTGATTAAGATTGATTAGTTGGTTCTTGCCTTAACAATTTGAGGCAACCCTCATGGGATTTCTTTTTAATTTCTTTATTATTATTTCTTCTTTTTTATTTTTATTTATTATTAACATTTTACTTTATCCACGTGATCACATATGAAAACCATCAATTTCATTCAATTTTTCTATTATTAGGTTATTGAAAGTCAAGTAAATTGAAAATTACACATGGGAATTTGATTAGACAGTTTGTATACTTGAAACCTGCACACAATTATAGACTCTAGATAAATATATATTTTATTAATATATTATACATGAGAAGTAAATGAGGATCTTCTTGGTAACTACATCCCATGTTCTTCAAGAGCTATGCAACTTGCCCCCATATCTCATTACATCCCCTTTTATACAAATTATATATAGGGATAGGATCAAAGCTATAGATATTTTTAGCTTAGTAGACAAGTATTTATTTTATTTTATTTTTCTTTTATGTCTTCTATCATTTAAAGTGCACTGTGTAAATCTGCACTCGGTAAAAAATAATCGGTAAAACCGGATGTATAAAGTATTAGCAAATATTATCAAACTCTCAACAAATTAGGCAACCATTAGGGTACAAAAGAAGTGACATTTATTCTTTGATAAAGTGGAGTTAGAGTTTAGCAAAAAAAAAACCCAAAAATTATTAGCTGGAGAAAAAGAGAAAACTATCCTTAAATGCAATTTATTGGCCAATAATAACACATTTTGCCTTACTAAAGAATGTGCCTCCCATGTTATACAGCAGTTTCTTGTTAGGCTGTCAACTCCATCAAAGGTGCAAAATTGCAAATTTAGCACTAAAAATCGCAAGTAATGACTCCAAAAATTAACGAAACAATCACAACTCGTATAATTAAAGATATATACTTATATATGCAGGGGCGAGTCCACCCAATGGGTAGGGTGATTGAAGCCCGAAACCCCCCCCCCCCCCATATATTTTCAAAGTCATCTTAGGTCTAACTTGCTCTCATCTTCTATTTTCCAACTTCGTTCTCTCTGGAAAAAAAAATAAAAAAAACTTAATTCTGTTTTTGTTCTCTCGTATAGTTAGCGGTCTACAACCATTGCTTGCTGAAAATTGCCACCCAACAGCAATCGAACTCGACCGGCGATCGATTAAGTTCAATTTGGCGTCTTTCTCTATTATCTCTATCATCTCAATTTCCAGATTGAATATCAACTAAAAGTCGATGGTTTAATTTTGATAATCGACTTGATATTCACGTTTCTTGAATTTTCGTAGCGATTTAGCTTTTGCGATTCGCTTTGGTATTAGCTTAAAGCCCACCCTCACAAAAAATTCCCGGCATCGCCAATGTATATACATAAAGGCTAAAGAAACGTAATTATCACAAGCGTGAGAGAAATTAAAAATAAAAGAAAGACAAAGGCACAAAGGCATTAAATTAGTGAAGGGTAAGAGGTAGACAATTCTTGTCAATATTTGATGATGTGGGGAACCCTAATGTCACATAATCTGTACAAAATTGCAAGCAAAAAACAGCTATTTCCTTATCATCTATTCCTTCAATTCTGATTATAAGTCTCTATCCATGTTTTCAATAATATTCCACAAATACAATTGCAATAATACACATTTCATCTAATTAATCATACATTTTTTTCATCTACTAAAGAACATACATTATTAGTTTTGAATCTTCTTTTTTTTGTGATAAGAAAGAATTTCGTTATTAGTGGTACGCGTTTATAGTTAGGTACGAGTCTTGTCGAGGGTTCATCTCGTTCGTTCCTCTCTGCCCGGGTGCACCATCCACCGTCCATTCAAAACACATAAAAATATGAATTTAATTCGAATTGTAAGAAGAAAAAAATTGCCACGTATGATGGTATTGTTTTTTTGATCATAGTTAAAAAAAAAAAAAGAATTGCCAATTTGTTACCTGAACTGACACAGATCTTGCAGACAGTAGATGCCAAAATTCAAGAAAAAGGTCTGGGAAGTATATTAAAAATTAAATGGCCATATTTTCCCTCTTTTGGCCGGTGAAAATTATTTTCGTCCAGGAATTAAAAGAAAATGAGTAACTACAATCACCCCTCAACTATGTATTTTCTTACGAAAGAATCTCTCAAATTTGAAACATTATCTGAAAACTAAGTAAACTCAAGGCTCTACCTAAAGGGCAAAACCAAAAAAAAAAAAAAAACAAAAAAAAAAAAAAAAAAAAAACATAGAAATGAAGCATTGAATAGTTTCAACAACATTGTACAGAAACTGCTAATTTTTTTTTCTATGGCAGCAGGTGTTAATGAAAGACAGCGGATTAAATTTCAACTACCAAATAATAAATTTGGCAAAACCCCAAAATTTATTACAGCCAGCTGATGATGTTCAACTTTAAACATGATAAATAGCATTAGAGAGTGACTTCACCATTAACCACTCTTGCCTTTTTACCACAATGGGAAATGAAAATAAGACAGTTCCTCAAACCCAACACCAGTTAAATCTTTCCAAGAATTGAATGTATGTACGTAAGTACACACAGGCCTCGTTTCGATTGGATTCGTGGTGTAAACTATTCCGTAAATTTCGATCCGAAAATTCCCGATTTCAAATCCACAAAATCCCAGTTTCTGTGTTTTTTTTTTCCGATTTTAATTTTAAAAAACATTTCCGAAAACTACCCATGTAATATCAAGATTAACCAAGTCTATCCAAACTCGGTATATAGCTAGCTGCCAGTATTACATATACACATGAAAGAGAAATCAAATTAAAGGTCCCGCAAGGGATGACCTAGCAATTGGAGGCAAACGAACTTGCGTCAATTGACCCAAGTTCGTATCCCTTTATCAATGGAACTGAAACCAGACAAACCCGAAAATCCGAAAACCCAATAAACCTCAAATAAAAGTACAGAAATCGAAATAGTTAGCAATAATGAATCCAAATTGTGAAAAAAATCCAAGTCAATTAAGATGTAAATAAACTACTTAATTCGGAAAAAAAAATATATATATATATATATATATATATATATATATAATGTATGCTTGATGGATGATTGGAAAGAAAAAAAAGAGTTGGTTTGAAAAAAGGTTTAGTCTCAAAAGGGAGTGCCAGTGCACAAATCCACTTTCATATATTACCTGACAGAGCCCACATGCCTATATAGAGAGGTCCTTCCCACCATAGCCATAGACCCACCACCCACATTACATTGTCCACATGGATTTTGTAAGAAGATTATTTTATTTATTTAAAAAAAAAAATTAATAAAATAATTAAGTGCTTCCCTTTATAAATATTTCATTTCCCTCTAAAACTTGCTTCCCTGTTATTTTTCCAAGAGAACCCAAAAGCAATACACACCACTTCTTGAATCTTTTTAAAAGGAGTTGCCTTTATTTCATCAAACAATCATTTGAATGTAAGTGTGTTTGCTCTGTTTCTACTTTCTACTGTATTCTGTTTTGTGTACTTTTTTCTTCTTCTTTTTTTTCGCAGTAGTTGCCGCAAACCCGAATAATTAGACAAGACTTAATATCCTAGTTTTTTGGAAATGCCGTATTGCCGTGTCTGTGCATCGTAGGTTAGAAACTTACCTCTGCATGTATGATGATCTGATAATCTTTTGAATTTGTTGAACCAGGTTGCTTTCTTGTGCTTAAAGGAACACCTGCAAATAAATTGGAGCAACAAGAAATCATTAAAGAAGAAATCAAGAAAAGAGAGCACTATTTTTAATTTTACTCTGTTTTTGGTATTAAGGAAAGAAACAGAGATAACCTGCAAAGACAATGTCTTCTCTGACAGACGAGAAACGGGATCTGCGTAAGCAGATTGGATGCATGAATGGAATATTCCAACTCTTCGACCGTCACCATTTCCTCACCGGCCGTCGTATTAGCAGCCATAGCCAAAAAAGGCTGCTTCAAGGTATTTTTTCCTTTAAGCCTCGATTCTTCAATTAAGCAGCCAAGAAATACATTTTCTACAACAAAAATTTCCATTTTTTCTAGGCTTATTATGAAAATTTCATATATTTGAATTCAGATCCTTCAAATTAAAAAATTAAAAAAGAAATTAAAAAAAATTTAAAAAAAAAATTTAAAAAAAATAAAAAAAAAAATGTAATCTGCAACAGATTTTGTGTAGAACAGTTTTACTAAGACTGGTATGTTTTTTTTTCAAGGTCCACAACACCAACTCGAGCCTCAACTCGGAACGAAAGGTTTCACGGTAAGACTCAGTGCATCTTCCTATCTGTTTACTACATTCTTGGAAGATTGGTTCTTAAAATGAAATGACTTACATTCACAGGAAAAGGGAACTGATGTGCACAAGGAGAAACCGAGAATCTCCACCGAATCATCCCGCGCGTCCTACTCATCTTCGTCATGTTCGTCCACATTCTCGTCACTCGATTTCAACAGATTAGTAGCTCAAACCGAATCACTCTCGCTCAGACAGATCAACATTTCCGAAACCCCATTTCAGCAAATCGCAAAAGAACAGAAACAGCCATTTCGAGATGTAGTGAAGGAGTCAATGCACAGAGAAGCCCGAGTCCTTCCCATCAAATCCACGTCCAACAACGAACAACGAGGCGTCGTAATGAAGCACATCGACTCGCCAAGGCCCTCCCCACAGCCCAAATCGGTAAAGCAGCCCAAAGATGATGACAGGCTGGCGCTTCCACGTTTCTCTTACGATGGGAGAGAATCTCGGGAGGGGTATAAGTCGGCCATGAAGCAAAAAGAACTGCCGAGATTTTCGTTGGACAGCAAAGCGAGTTCAATGAAGTGTTCGTCTATGGAGTCGAGATTGAATTTTTCCTTTAATCAAGAATCTGGGATCCATAATCGAACTTCAAGTGTTGTGGCGAAGCTAATGGGCTTGGAGATTTTCCCCGATACAATTTCCTCAGAAGAGAGTAGAACTCCCTCGAAAAAGCCGTTCCCCAAAGAAGAAGCATATTCCCCACGTGTTTCACAAAGTAGTGCCACGTCAGCCTCGCCAAGAAAACCAACTGCGTGTACGAGGTTTCCAATCGAACCAGCTCCATGGAGTCAACAAGATTCTCCGAAAAAGTCTTCGCACAGTAAGAGACCTCCGATGAGTACCACCCCACATCAATCTTCTTCGGTCTACGGTCAAATCGAGAAGAGGATAACGGAGCTCGAATTCAAAAGATCGGGAAAAGATCTTAGAGCTCTTAAGCAGATACTCGAATCGATGCAGAAAACAAGAACGCATTTGGAAAACCAATTAAAAAGCTCTTCTGCTACGATCATAAAACCAGCCAAAGTGATGGACACAGTCAAATTTCCAGTTACCAATCGGGTCGAAAATTCAGCTCACAGGAAAAAGGCGAACGATCTCCCACAAAAGAGAAGTATTCAAAAAGAACCCAATTTTCAGAATCTTCCTTCTGCCGACAGGAAGTATACTTGGAGAAACGGAGAATCAGATAGAACACCTCAAATAAGGAGTCCAAGATTACAACAGAAGCTACTCAAGATAGAAGAACAATCCCGTCCGACCACCCCATCATCAGACTCGGGCCGGGCCAAGAAGCACTGCAATAAGAAAATTACTGAAAAGGGTCAACAGAACAGCAAACACAGAGTAAAAGTAAAGGACAGGCAGTTAAGTGATGACCAATTAAGTGATCTTAGTAGTGAGACGAGATACTCGAGTTGCCACGGCGACACAGCTTCTGTAAAATCAGAAAGCAACAACAGCCTATTCTCACAGAAAGAAACAGAGGTGACGAGTGCTGGACGAAAAGAGGTATGTTAAAAAATCGAGTATTCTATGCTATAACAGTGATTGCGTAGCGGTGTTTCATTAGCTGACAGGTTTGCTTTTGTGCCTTCAGAATTCCGTGCCGACAACTAGAGAAAACATGCCAGCAGTTCGAATTGCGGTAACCATTTTGGAACAGCCGAGTCCAATATCAGTTCTTGATGATACATTTTACTCCGAAGATTCACCGTCTCCAATAAAGAAGATATCATCAGCTTTTCGAGGTATTATTCTCAAAAATTAATGAGTTGAAAAATTAAATCCGTATTCTCAAAAATTGCGACTGATATTTTCTTTGGTTTGTCTCGAATTGAACAGAAGATGAGAGTCCTAATCTTGACGAAGCAGAATGGCATCTTACGAATCTAACTCGTTTAACCAACTGCAAAAGATCCAATAACGGCAGCAGTTACAATCTGAAGTTAGAAAACGCGAAAAACTTTGCCCACGAGCTTCCATTATTGGACACTGAACCCGACGAAACCACTGCAAATCAAAACGCAATAGCACAAGTGAGCCTCAACCCAAACCACAGATACATAAACAAGATACTACTAACATCGGGACTCCTCAAAGACTCGAGTTTCATCTCAACATCCGATAAGCTCCTTTCATCAAACCATCTGATCAACCCTGATATGTTCCATGTACTCGAACAAACAGAGGAAAACATTGAAAAGAATGACAAGACGAATTCGAATAAGAAAATCGAAAGAAAAATCGTTTTCGATATGGTGGACGAGATACTGGTTCGCAAAATCACTTCGGGCAGATTGTTTACAATGGTCAAGAAAAGAACAAGCCCACAGGGGCTGCTAAAAGAAGTGTACTCGGAAATCGACCGTCTCTGCACGGTACAAGATTGCGATCTCGATAACGAGGAAGATGAAATGATCAGACAATTAAATGCAGATATAAAGTACGAGTCGGAAGATTGGGCCGACTACAGCGGCGAGTTACCGGGTCTGGTTTTGGACATCGAAAGGCTGATATTCAAAGACATGATCAACGAGGTTGTTACGGGTGAAGTTATGGGTGTTCATGATTGGCCGAAGAGGCATTGCAGGAAACTTTTTAGCAAGTAGTATTTGGTGTTTTTTTTTTATTTAGCCTGCCTATTTGTTTTTTTTGCGTATGCATGATTATTCATAGCTTGGTATGTAAAATACAATGTAAGATGAAACGTGTACATAGAGCAATATATAATATAACTAATTTAGGATTGAGAACGAAGCAATTCACATAATCTGCGTAACTGTGTCTTTCACGCGCTGTTTTAAGTCCATCAAACATTTAATTAGGGCAAAAAACAAACCCTAGAGGTGAGAAGGGGAGATCGTCACAGACTCACAGTGTGTGGTGGGCGGATTGACGAGACCGCCGCACGCCGCCGCTGACTGCTCTAATCGGAATATGCTGCCTCTGCTCACTGCTGCTGTCCCGGCATCGCCGATTGCCGCCGGATTGAAACAGTAGTACTACTTTTGGGCGGGAAAATAATTTATACAATTATGCACGTGTTTATATCGGGCGATTCTTTTTCTTCTGCGTCGGAAAAATTTACAGCGATAAGTACGGACCAAGTTTCAATGAACTGGGCTGGGCCTAGTAATGGATAATTTTGTGATACCGAGGCCGAGTTTATTTATACACGAGGAAAAAAGCCCAATAATTATTATGAAAATGTAATAATACATTATTTTTAGCTCAAGAATTTAATAATAATAATAATAATAATAATATATTAAACACTACATAAAATAATATTTTTTTTGTATCGTCTAATTTTGTATGCATTAACTGTGACTCTCTCATTTCATCTTGTATGACAGATATTCAGCGTAAAGAAGTATTTTTGATCATTTCAATTGAGGATTCAAGAAACATAACAAAAAAAAATATGAATATCAGATAAAAATCAAAATGTTCTATCATCATATACATTTGAACCTTGATAAAGCAATAAATCTCAATTAAACAATAATTTGTCCCGGTACCGGCTCAGTAGTAAATGTGTTAATTATTAGTTCGATAATTTAATATTTCGCTAAATTAATATAATTTTGATAGTCAAATTTATGGAGGTTTAACTCTATCCATGATTTGTTTTAATAGCTAGCAAGAAAATCAAGCCTCTCTCTGTTTTTCGTGGCTAATTTTTTTTCCTGATGCAGATAAAAAACAAATCAATTCTTGATTTTCGAATAACTAACGGTAGGACTAATAAGAAAGGCAATCAAACACACAAAATTACCTAATAATTTGACAACGATAAAGAAGCGTGCACACACATTATTTTCCAGAGTTACCTGAAACGAAACAAACAGAAGAAACGACAGAAAATTCGCACCAGATATCCAACGACAAACGTATTTAAGAACGGTAAAAACAATACATTTCGATTTAATGTCAAATGTTATCTAAGATCTCTTCATAGTTATGTTATTTGGAGACACAATATAAATGGATGCAACTACAATGTTTTACCGATTATAGACTTTTCACGCTACATTCGTTCAAGTTAACTGTATGGGAATCTAAATGTAAAATCTCCACCGTTACACCTCAACACATTCTTCACTGTATAAACACTGCAGCTTCTATAATGAGCTGCCTTAATAACTAAGTTATGCATAACATGCAAATAAGTGCAGAGGCACAAATATGTGACTCTATGAAACGCAGATATACCAACTCGTAATAAAATTAAGATAATATTTAAAAAATAACATGAAAAAGATGTATTACTACTTGAGATCTAGTTTCTGTATTACGAATTTGTATTACGAATTACAGCACGCTCTAGCATAAGATTTCACACTCGTATTCACATGGCACAAAATGAAAATAAATCACAGTAATTTGGGCCGTATACAATTAATTTTCATAATCCATGGCAAAAAACGTCAAACCGACGAACTTATCTCTAATGCCAGACTAGATTGTCTCAAAATCTCTACCCTTTTAATGCATCCACATCCGTGCGGTTTCTTTCCCTTATCTACACGCATCCACAAAATTTTATTACAATATTTACATTGATTACACCCGAGATTACCTCGTCCGTAAATGCCGCTACTTTTAACCCTTTTCCGTGTATATAAATAAGCATATCGATTAACGCCAGAACACACACACATAGCTGAGAACATCCAATAGAGAAATTAGAAACACACACACACACAAACGCAAGAAACACATAGCAAGAAATGGAGCAACAACCACCACCACCAACTCCTAAGAGATGCCCTCGTTGCAACTCGCTAGATACTAATTTTCGCTACTACAACAATAACGACCGCGAACAACCCAGACACTATTGCAGGACTTGCAAACGGCACTGGACTGTAGGCGGAACCTTAAGGAATATCCCCATCGGGGGTAGACCTAGAAACAATAAAAGAACAAGAGCCTCGTCTTCAAGAAATGCCAATCCACACCCACACCGACACCCACACCCACAATACTTACAATCGCTTACGCCTCTGACAACCATGGTTCCTCAAAATTTGTATACAACCATGAACCAACCAATCAGACACGTGCCTACAATAGCACCTCAATTGAGCTCGTATTATTACAATGACGAGATCTCTTGTTGGGATGCTATACAATCTTTGATCCAGTCAGATGGTATTAATTACAATCTGAATGCTGGATATCAATTCGGCAGTGGTGGTAATGCCAATGCGGCAATTCCGAACGATTGGAATATTCAGTCCATGACATCACAATATGCTTTACCTCAACAACAAATCCCCCAGTTTGTTGAGTCTTACCAAACTAATAATCGAGTCAACAATGCAGCTCCTAGTTTGTATGACAATAGTTTGGTTCAACCAACTTGGCCTACAAACTCTTTGTCTCAAGATGTCATGACTAATTTTGGATCATCTACATCAAATTCTTGTCCGTGGAACAACATTATCGGTACAACAACCGACACCAACACGGAAATGGATGCAAGTTTTGTGGATGTAGATCAGTGGCTTAATATTCCGGATTATGGCTCATCATAAGTAATGAATGCATAATGTTTTCAGTGGGGAATTTGGTTGTAAAATTTATTTTCGATTTAATATTATTTATCAAATCTTCATCTGATTTTTCTACCCATGATTCTGGTAATCTATTTTATCTTTTTTAAGTTTGGTATTCACAAAATTCACTTGTTGACCATTATAAGTTAAAATATGGTTCCAAGTTAAAAAAATGAAAAAAAATAAATAAATTAGATTACGCATCACTAATGTTTTGTGGTTCAAAATTCATGGCAAATTAATAAATCAAACTGCAAATCATCGTACCTATTATGTAAAATTTAGGTGCATAAATGTCTTTTTCTTTTTTTAAATTATTATTTTAATAGTCACTGGTACGTACGGGTTCCAAATTTTGATTTACCACCGGTAAATTGTTTTTTTGCAGGAAAAAAACAGTAATTACCCCAACTACGGCGGTAAGCCTAGGATGTTAAAGAAAAAATTTGTATACTTTTGAGGGTTAAAAAAAAAAAAAAAAAGATGATAATGTGGAAATAAAATTTTGAAAATTTAAAAGGATGGATATAATGAATGAGAATTCGGAAACTGGATTACTCGATTAAGAATTTGGAATGTTAACTCTGTATATATGTGAATCTCCGCCCCATGCTTTACAAAAAGCCTCAACGTTTCCGTATTATCTTTCACCATAACTTAAACAACTATGTAAATACATGTGGAGGCATTAAAATCTTGAAGACGAGAGTTTCTATTGCACACACTCCCCGAAGGACATTCGTTAAGTTTCCGCCCATAATCCACTACCTTATGCACGTCATGCAAAAGTATGAAGGTTTATAATATTGAAACTTAGTATCTAACGAGTCACAACCAGGACAACTCAATGAAGTTGGTGGTAGATTATCGAAAAAGGTTCGTTTTTTCTCCCCTTTTGCTCAATTTCATGCTCTATGTTCTCTTTATAACACTATTAATGTTCAATACGCATAATTTTACATTGTTCCCTAAAATGCAACCTTCACTTACATGGAATTTTTATTCCACGTGCTCGTTCCTACGAAATTAATATGCACGAGTAACTAGCATTTGTAAGCAAAGCAACTGGACGAAAAAGATTATTTTTTTTAAGCGAAAAAAAAAACTCATGCAAGTTCATGTGTCTCCAACAATTGTAGTAAATGAATGATAGCAAGTAATTATTCTTCATGAAAAAAACAATTAACAACAATGGGTTAATACAAACTAACCGTTCATTGATCAACGGTCATAATTAAGCTCCGATTGCAACATAAACATTGATCAATAAGCAAATGCGAATATAAGCTAAAAAAAATTGGGGAAAAACAAAAAAACAAACAACGAAGAACACAAAAGGAACAACAAACCTGAAATTGTCTGAAATAAGTGACTGAAATCATGATTAATTGCTCTGCCTGAAGATGTGTTTGTCGGTAAAGTTTATACGTGTATTTATAGTACTGCGCCGATGATTTGCTGACGTCACCTTGCCGGTGTATTGGGGCTAGGGTTTTTTCTCGAGCTGGAAACTGGAAAATATTAATCAATTGCTTTAATCCTAATCTGATTGAAAGGCATGGACTCGAGAATTACAGATAATCTCACTAATTAATTATTTCCTGATTTCTAAAAGTGATTATGAATTTTTAATTACATTTACTTGCCTTTGAATTGATTGAAGAAGACGAAGAGAAGAATTGGATATTTGGCTGAGGACGAAACGGCGACGTTTTGGAGATGGGCCGAAAGAGGAAGTGGGCCCATATGTGGTTAATGGGCTGAAGAATATTCTGGAGATTAGATCAGCTGAGGATGGTGTACCTGGACTTGTGGGGGAATTAGTCTACATACACAAAACAAGGACACGTGTTGCGTCATTATTAGTTGAATAAATACTGTATTTACCTTGTTTTAGAAAGAGTACTCGAAGAAAGAAGGCACAAGTCAATTTTTTCTTTCTTTCTTCTTCTATCTCAACTCTTCTTCCCCCCAACTGACCTATCTCTGAAATTGTCCTAAGTTTGGGAGTAAAATGATTTTTAACATATGTACGTAGTACGAACACGGAAATGGCAATGCGAAGCAATGGCAGAACGAACACCGGAAAATGGCATATCCCACAAATAAGGATACGAGAACTTGGGAAAATGTGTAAATATTATAAGTATAGGGGTATATTTATAATTATATTATGTGAACATATATAAGTTTTTATTTATATATATATTTCCATACAAATATGTTCAAAATATATACTATTATCAACTATTAATTTGCAATTGATCATTAAATCATGTAAATAATAATAACAAATGAAAAGATATTTGAAAATTTGATATTTTAATATGTTTCTAACTTTTTAAAAACTACAAAATGACCTAATGTTGGGGTGCTAAATACCAACACGCAAGTGCACGTATCGCAAACAAGTAATAAAGTGGACTCGTGAGAGTCGGATGTCGATCCCACAGGGAATACGCAAATTACCTAATCCTAAGTACCAAATTCTAACAATTATGATTTTTATCCAGCCTACGCAAGTTTGTCAAATTAAATCAATTAAACAACTAAACTAATTAAGAAAGCAAATAACACGGGAAAATATCAATTAAAACGGACCTAGGATTTTATCTTCCCCTATGCAAGAATTGCTCACCCAAAACCCCTCAATTATGAAATATATGATTCATGATTATTAACCCGAGACACTAATTTACTCATAACCCGCTGTCGCGTGTATTATGAGTCTATTATTCATAAACGATTCACTATATGTCTATGCAAACCAATTATGAATAAAGCATTAACTAACAAGTCTCGTAAATGGCTACCTAAGGTGATATCTGTATGTCTACGGCACCACATGCAATTGACACACTCATCCGGTGAAAACTACTCGAAGGTTCTTCTACTTACCGTCTAATTATCAAAATAGCTCTGTCGAGTCAATCCCAATAATCACAGATAAAGCACATAAATTGATCAAGTTCATGCACTAACAATCATATCAAGTAGAAGAAATAATCATAAAATCATAATTGCATAATCTCAAGAAAACGGGTTCACCATCCCCACATAGGGTTCCAACAAAATCCTAGATTAAGAACTTAGCTACTCATAACGAAAAACATAATAAAAGTAATAAAAGTCATAGATTAAGAAAAGATAGGTGAAAGAAGAATTATGATGAAGAGTTGTCAATTCTCCGTCTTCGATTCTTCGTTCTCTCGCTCCAAGGTTGTGTCCAAAGTCCTTTGATTCGTGCTTGGTTTGGGCTTAAATAGATGTCCCAACTTGGTAGATGATTCTAGGTTTCCTTTGTGTTTAAAAGTCCAAAATTGTCTCCAGCGTGATTTGGCACGGCCGCGCGAAAATCAGTGTAATTCTCGCACGGCCGCGCGAGAATCGCCGAACCTTCTGCCCAAATTCAGCATTTGGCACGGCCGTGCCAAAAATAAGCTAATTTTGGGACGGCCGTGCGGGCCTGTTTTCAGCCAATTTCAGCATATTTTTGATTATTTCACTTTTGGCCCATATTTTCTCCAACTTTGCAGTTTTGACCTCAAACTTTTCCAATTCTTCAATTTATACCTAAAATACAATAAATCAACTTTTTAACCACCAATTATCGTTAAATCACACCAAAAGCTCAAATAAAAAGGTACGATAAAGTATAAAAATATATACTTAACACCTAAAAAGTGTTCGGCAGGTGTCCTCGAGTCTCAGACACAAAATTTGTCCAAAACACAAAAAAGTTAAAAAGTTGAAATTTTCGTGCTACGTAACACACAAACCAATGGGGACCCTCCTACGACAATAACTTTAATTTGGATGTGGTCCTAATTATATTCAAAAACACACACTACATAAAAACCAAACCCTAATTACTTTGTACCAACACCTAACTTTTTCTTTTCTTTTTTTCTTGATTAATTTGGACCACTCTTTCAGTTCTTCATTTCTTTATAATTTCATATACATCTAGATCGTATTACTGTTGTTTAAATTACAAAGTTGACGTTACATTAACATTCTCATTAATTCATCAAGGACGACCAAAACTCTCTCTCTCTCTCTCTCTCTCTCTCTCTCTCACACACACACACACACACACACACACACACACACACACATATATATATATATATATATATATATATATATATATATATATATATATATATATATATATATATATATATATATATATATATATATATATATATATATATATATATATATATATATATATATATATATATATATATATATATATATAACATTTGATGATAAATATATTGTAGAGCTTCAACGTTAAAATGATTCTCGTACATGGAAAAGATAAGGAAGATGAAACAGCTCAGTACACATGGACCATGCCATATGTTTTATATTAAATTACATGCCATAGGTTTAATTTATAATAAATCATACAAAAAAAAAATTCTCTGCATAATCGAAAATATTACTGGTTTTTCGAACCTCAAATTAAAATTCGTGAACAAAATATATATATCGATATATACATATCAAGATTATCATGCAAAGTACCGATCAACGACGAATTCTCATAGCGAAAATAAATTAAAATAAAAACTGCAAATAGTAGAAACAATGAAATTATATATATAACACAATGCTAGTGCATACATATAATGATACAATACATATATAGATTCATATACATATATGTATATGTATATATATATAGATTTTGAACTAGCTAGCTTCCATCGTTGTTTTGCGAAGGGAGGAGATTCGCGGTACAAAGCACCGAAGAAGACTCCAATTGCGAGCGCTGGTCGTAATTCGCTTTTTCCGCATCAAACTCCGCACCGGTCGTCGCGAAATAAGACGGCAATTGCAGGCTGAAATTATGCCAATCGTCGTTTAATTGATTATGAGCCGACGTAATTAATGCATGCCCTTTCGTAGGGTTGTGGTTGTTGTGTTGTTGGTCGTGCGAAAGCGTCAACATATTCGAAGGATAATTATCCCATCTCACATACGAATTGTATGCAGAAACATTATTATACAATGCACCTTCGTCGCTCGATCTCGTCCAATTAGTTTCCGCTTCGTCTCGATTATTACTAGTATCCACTTCCTTTAATTTATTATTATTCCCACCGAAAAGATTAATATCCTCCGATCTTCTAGAATGTTCCGGAACAACGTTGCTCGAATTCCAGTTGATCATCATCCCTTGAGGTATTTGGAGAGGCGGCAGTTCGTCGATTTCATTCTTTGCGATATCGAGCAGCCAATCGACGACCTTGCTCGGCTGGTTCAGCCCTAACCGATCTTGTAGGTCGTACAGCTGTATGGCTGTGGGAACCGATAGCCTCACCCGCCTGTCGCGTAACCCCCTCACAGTGCATACTTTGCTGTGCCTGTCTTTGCCCCCGAATGCTCGAGAAACGCGCACGATTCGTGGATCTTTTAATCTAGTATTGCTCCAAGAAGATGCTGCTGTTGTTGTTGTTGAAGTAGTGGCCGCCTTGAACAAGTTTTTGGCGGCCGGGTTATTATCGGTATTATTGCTCGTGCTGCTCATATATATATATATATAATTGTGCTATATATATGTAAAAGTTTCGGATTTTTCGAGGTTGTTTCGTTGAATCTTGAAAATAGCCCTTCTTTGTTTTTTTTTTCCTTTTTGTGAAATTTTGCAGAAGGTTGCTCTCTTAAGTAGACACTCAAGAATTTCTGCGACGACATAAATTAAAACAGAAAATTTTATCGAGTTACGAAGAAATCGAATTGCAACAATATCGACAAACAATAGACAATTAAATAGTACAAAATTCTGCACAAAATCGAAAAGAAATATTACTTACATCATGATCTTGTCTACAACTGCCATGTATATACCAGATCGATTTTATACGATCTTTTCTTGTATTTCCGATTCAGTCCTTAGTTTCTTACAACCAAGAAATCAAGCCTCTTGCAAAGTCATATGATGTTTTTTTTTAATTCCAAGAGGTAAATTCCATTATATTACATATAGAGATATACTTATAGAAAAGCTGTATATATATGTACATTGCATAGTATTCATTAATAATATTCAACTGACCATGCTTGAAGGAAAAAGAAAGTACCGATACACGAAAGGCCACGTGCACGTCTCCATCCGAACAGATATATATGCCGGTCGAAAAAAGAAAAAAAATCTTATCTCACATGCATGCGCCTTTTACCGGTAATTAATTTTCGTTTAAAATGTTTTTAATCAACTACTATTTTTTTTTTGTTATTGAACCATCTAGAAAAAAGTTCGCTTTAACGCTTTATCGACAACTACAAAAGGCATTTTCGGTTTGACAGATGCACGCCTTGCAATGCTACGTCAGCGACTGAAAATTTTGTATATATATCATTAGCATTCGTAATATATAATTAATGTATTCTGTTTAAAAAAAAAAAAAAAGTAGATTGATCGATCGATAACTAGGTAGGAGAATTATGAAAAATCCAATGTTTTGACAGCAAACTAAACAAAATGATTTAATTTAATTTAATTCAATATGATTTTAATTTCATTTATTAATTGTATGTACATGATGCTTGTAATTAATTAATCTTTTGTAATTTAAACAGAAGAGAGTAACATCATCTTGATGTTGCCCTTGTGGTGAGGGACCAACTGATTTCCATTAAAACTGTCAACCTGTGTATAGCAAGAGGACCACACACTAATTATTTTTTTATTTTTATTGCCGAGAGTTCGATTTTCGTAGATATATGATGAATATAAATATATATTTTTTTAGAGTGAAATGTGTGTAGGTTTTGTAGATATATATATTATTGCAAAACTCAATTGGCTAGTTAATTAATATATCTTGTTTGGCAAACGAAGATCGATCGACAAAAAATACAATTAATTAGCCGTGTCGAACTTTCTTTCTGCGTAGAACCTAGTCAAAGAATTTAATTAAAAAAAATAGTGTCTTTTAATTTGGCAGTAATTTCAGACTGTGATATATGCTTAGTGACACATCAAACAATCAAGAAATGAAATTAACTATATAGTTAGACTTAGGAGGACTGCAACAAGTTAAAGATGAAATAATCATACAGAAAAAATTAAAGGAAAATAAATTAATTAAACCAGCTTATTAAATACATTGTGGAAACCTAAAATAATATATTGTAATAAAAATTAATTTACAAAGGAAATGACTAAACATATGACACACAGTACAGTTTCTTTTAAGATGGACTTAAATTTCGAGTTTTTTTTTTCTTTTTCTGCTACATCTGTCGTCATAAGTCATAACTCACAACTACTAATTATACTCGGTATTTTTATCGATCGCATGATCATGCATGTGGTTAACAACGCGTACCAAATTAGGGCTAGCTGCACTAATTTCGAAAACAAAAGACCACGAATTAGATAAATATTTAAACCCGTGGCTTAATTATATATTATTTGATTAAGTAAGATTAATAGGGGCATATATCAGCTTAATGATTTGATGAGAATCTCGAGATAAAGAAGAAAAAAAATGGAGGAGTTTAAGATTTGAAGAAGGTACTATGCATTATTGACAAATAAATGGTCCCCAGATTCCCCAGACACAGACAACTTTTGGCTACAGTTTTTCACAGATTATTTAATTACTATAATTTTTGTATTATATAATATTATATATACTATAACCTCAATTGTTTCAAAGTTTGAATCAAATTAATTCCAACTTAATTCACATGTATATATATATGTATGTAAATATGTATATCCCATAGTCATTACAGTTTGATTTGTCAAGATTCTTTAAAACTTGATTTCTTGGACTCAAATAGCACATGTTTTGAGTGTGGTTTTTATATAGATGGCATAAGGCATGGGAAAACAAAGGGTTTTCTGCTTTCACCTATATATATACAGAGAGAGAGAGAGAGTGAGAGAGAGAGAGAGAGAGAGAGAGAGAGAGAGAGAGAGAGAGAGAGAGAGAGAGAGAGAGAGAGAGAGAGAGAGAGAGAGAGAGAGAGAGAGAGAGAGAGAGAGAGAGAGACATATCTTATTATAACTCTTACATGCAAGAATTAAGAACGTACGTGTAATAAACAGTTGTTCTTGAAGCAAGAAACTCAACTAAACCTATATATTAATTGATGTTACCAACAGAAAAATGTGAACCTATTCAAAGAATTTGATCATTATCATTTTCTTTGTGTCATAATTAAACACACACACATACACACACACACACACACACACACACACACACACACACACACAAAAGAGGAAGAACAGTGATGAGTGAAACATAAAGGGACCACAGATTAAAGCATTACAGAAGGTACTATATATGTATGTATAATGTATGTAATTTTAATATATATAATTCTCTCTTTTATTTAGTTGACAATAGATAGCACATACCCAAGTCCTGGTTTAAAACTCCAAACATAAGCGTGGCATGCTAGCCTGTTCCTTCTTCTACTTATTTAAAAATAATTAAAAAAAAATAATAATAAAGGAGTTTATATAATGTTATATAAAAATTAAAAAATATATTAATGGGCAGAGATGAAATGTACGAGATGCAGTTGCACTATCACTGCCATCATCATTTAATTAATATATATATGAATGAATCTGTAAAAATTGAAGTTTGAAATTTGTCTCTTTGCATCTAGGGTTTTAAAGAAGAAGTCGTTGTCGTTGGCAAACAGATCGATGAGTGAGTGAGTGAATGAATGCAGTAGTAACTGCACAGCAGAAGAACAGTAGAGGATAAGACAATTCTTGTAAGAGGGTGCTTCCATTTGAAGGATTGGTACAATTTCTTCTCTTTCTTTTCGATACCCTAAATAACTCATCTGTCATTTCTTGGTCCACCTTCTTAATTAGCTTACGCGAACCCACTTACCGGGAAATTAATTGTCACATGTGGTTACTTACACTCGGTGAATTTGATTCGTAAATTTACATATAATCACACATATGTGTATATGTATTTAGTAGGTAGTTATTTAATCAAATATACAGTTTAAATTCACTCAATCAGGTGTGACATCTAACTGCCCACGTTACTCCCTCAATCTCAATTCAGAATTTATATATTCATGTATTTTATTTCACAAATTCATATGGCAACTATATAAATAATTACCTTTATACACATGTAATTAATAATTCACAAATTGCATTTTGATTTTGCTTTTTATTTTTGTAAAATGATACACGAACCCTAGACAAGTAGTACAACCTCCTGATTTGCCCCAATCTTGGGTTGATGAATGATGATTTGCGAGCTATTGCATAAGCACGTTGTTTTACTCAGTTCAGGTTGCAAGTAATTGCACTCTTCCCAATTAAAAAAATAATTTGGGCCGATCTTGTCAATACAGGTATACTTATAATTATCTCTTAGAATCCTTCAAGTTTTATATGGGGTGGATGGATATAAAAAAACTTACAAATTGCATATGATGTAATTAAAAAAAATAAAGGGAGTTCATTAATAGACTTCACGTCAGGGAGGTAGTTGTAATTTACCCTTGAATTTATTTGTTCACATTCAAGAAAAATAATATTGTTTTTTTTTCCGAAAATGTTAATACAGATCCAATTTCCACCCTATACATTAGTGCCATGTCAAGAACAAACTAAACATCTCTCTCATCAGCCTCAGTTTCTTGATTAATAAAACAACTACTAATCTCTCTGACTGTGCTGTGTGTCAGAAAATTAGTTATCATGACTCATCATTCATAATCACACACACACATGCAGAGAATTGTCATATATATATATATATATATATATATATATATATATATATATATATATATATATATATATATAAAAAAATATATAATATAATGATAAAGATGCCATAGGTACAAAAGAGGGAGAATAGGGGGTGATGTTGATAGTCGTTAGATTTTAGTAGATGCAGAGGAGTAGGGACCCCCACCCACACCCCACCGTTGTCCTAATCAAAACGGCTTTAATTGCAAATTAACTGATACTCAATTTTCAGTAAAAGTGACAACCCATGGCATGAACAAACAAACCAGACATCAATATTGTTCATCAAATATGGCGTTTCAGCATGCGTCGAAGTGCAACTGTATGCAGATAATAACCACACACTGACTGTGTTCATAAAGCCAAAAGAAACGAAGAAAAGAAAGAAAACAAAAAAAAAAAGGATTCCATGTAGCAGAGAAAAAGCATCATGAGCCTTAATTCAAAAATCGGGATGCGAAAATACAAAAGCGACATGGAAGTCGCACAATGTTTCTATTAAGGCAAGATTACATATTATTGGTAAAAGAACTCGATACAAAGTTACACTTCATGGCATAAACCTTCTTGTCTGAATTAAGATATTTTTCAAATGTTCAGTGATGAGATGGAAAACATTGAAATAGAAGCTTACTAGGGAGGAGGAAGAAAAAAACCCGCTGCTTGAAACGGCTGACCTTTAAACTTCACCTACAAGAACTTTACGCAGCCCAGTAAGCTGGCCAGCTCGCAAGCCTGTTACGTAAAGAAAATGATTTTCAACGCATCCAAAACAGTAAACCGGAATTTCCAGTTCTCTGAAGAAAGAATCGAAAAATACAGAAAACTCCTTAAATGGAGCTAGCAAACCCATAAAAAAAAATGAAAAATGTGAAAAGATAAATGTTGTGAATTCGAATTCAACTCTCGGTTACAAGGCTTATCATCACCAAGACAGTGAAAATTGTCGTTGATATACGTCAGAAAAGTGTTTGTCCATTCAGAATCTGGTGTAGCCTGAATCTTACGATAATAACACATTTGGCTGTCAGATTTCAACTTCAGCTATCAACGTCAAAAATTGATTAGCTGTTAAGGGTCATGAAGAATATTAACAAGATTGGTGGATAAATATTTCCGTTGGCCACTTAATTGTATAACTAGGATCTGGGAGAGGGGGTCAGCAGCCAAGTTCTTATATCACAACAAAAATGTAGCCAACCTGTGGCAAATCCAACTTCAAATTTGAGGCACATGTGTCCGTTTGGAATTCAAAGTTTTGATATATAAGGATATCATGGGCTATTATAAAAGATCTTCTAAGTCTAGCTGTCAATACGCTGACGTTTATGATATTTATTCCAGAAGCCTACAATATGACTGAGTTATAGCTCTCTTATTTGTCAATAATGCCATGATGCCATTAATAGAGCTGTAGCAACTAGCAAAAGCCAAAAAATAAAAACGAGAAATGCATCCAAAACATATCATAGGAGTCCGTTGAAACTTCTGGCATAGGTCAAAGCTTAAGAAAGAGATTAATGCGTTCAGTAAGAAAGAGTGTTATTCACAATGCGTGTCAAATTTTAAAAAGACCTAATCAAAGGACCAATATCATGGGGAAGCTAAGATCCTAGAGATTTTTAAGTCCGCACAACACAATCTGTCTTTTAATTCGATAATTGAAAATTTCATTCCAGAAAATTCGGAAAGTTCATTTAAAACAGGATAAAGAAGTGGCTCGATTCATTTTATAAACGTATCCTGTGGCCAGCTTCGTAATCCGTAGATCACATTATTCCATCTTCTTTAAACCAAATACCAACAACATAAGCATCAGTTCATCAACACTGCCACCTTACATTGACACGCTTCTTACTACTTAATCCAACGCTGGAAGAGCATAACATAAACTACATAAACAGGAAATGCAGAAGTAGTCGTGCTGCACGTCGTTTTATGCGATGCAATTTCATATCAGCATGAAATGAAAAAAAAGTTCAATTAATCTACATCATCTGCTACCCTTTCCTTTAAGCAACGTGTAACATACAAATATTACCGATAACATCTATTCGTCACGAACTTTATTACATAATCATCTGCAGACACAGGCGTGATTTATGAACGATGCCAATCAATCCAAATAATGATCCATAATTACTTTACAACGTAACTCGTATTTATAAACACCAATCTCATCAAATAGAAACTCATTAAGTAAACAAATCATCATTATAACTAATCAGTAAAACAAACGATATCCCCTCATCCATTATCAAGTCACGATTGAAACCTAAAACAGCAAACAATTCAAACACGTTTCCCAACATAAAAACACTCAAAATATTTTTTTATAATAAAGAGAAAGATCTTACATCGAATTTTACTTCTGATACCCGCCGCCCATGGCATTCTCATCCTCGACGATTTTTGCAGTCAAGTACGGCTGGGGAAAATCGCTCGGACCGAACGTCTTCTCCTTCACCATCTTCTCCACGTCAGCTTTCGTCAAAATGGTGCGTTTGATGGGGGGGCGATTGCGGCGCTGGTCTCTGGCGAAGTACTTGATGTCGAAAACCGTTTCCGGCAGAGAGGTCGGCACGATTGCTCTGGCGGTGATGGTGGCCGGACAGGCGAGGCGGTACTCCGTCGCCTTCAGGATGGAGAGGCGGAATTCTGGATGAGAGGCGGGCCCCGTGTATTCCCATGGTTTCTTTATGTAGCGACGGAGGGTTTGGATTAGGGATTTCACAGCGGACGCCATTGTCGATTTGGGGATCTTCTTCAATGAGAACGAAATGTGGGGGGAGACCGGAGACGAGAATAATAATAATAAAATAATAAGTAATAAATTCAAGCTGAAGTCGCGTTTTGTATTTTTTAGATTAGGCAGAAGTCGCGGTTTGTATTTTTCGATTAGGCAAAGTCGCTATTGGATAGTGCGTGCATAAGAATAACTTCTGGTCTATGGTTTTAAGTTTATAGTTCTAACCGGATATAATTGGGCCTATCAATATATTATACTTTTAAAAATAATAACAAACAAACTAATATATTAAAAAAAGCCCACATAAACATAGACACAATTAGGACCAGCGGGCCTAACTGAAGCCCGATGGTTTGACCTGATTATATTTGAGTCTAATCTATTTTTTAGTGAGTCTGGCTGAGTTTGAATCATTTTACTAAACTCGATTTATTTATGAGTCAACTTGGAGCTTTTTATAGCTCAACTCGAATAAGGCCCGACCGATTAAATTAATCATAAACTATATAATATATTTATTATTTTAACGATATACCTCAACATACAAGTTTAAATTGTATGTTCAAAAAATGAAAATTCAAAAATAAAAAGAATTAAGTGGTGATAGTGACAATTGGTAAAATAGGGATCAAATTCAACATACTCACTAGAACCTGCTGAAATTTATCATCGATATTTAAGAATATAAAACATTTCGAATAATGTTATATATTAATTAATTTTTTTTACCTTCTTTCAGTTTTGTTTCTAAATTTTTCCAATAGCTTGCAAAGATCGTTTAGAGTTTTTTTAGATTGTCTTCAATGGAGGTAAACCTTGTTTATTGCTTGTTTTTCATACATTTTTTTTTATTCATTACAGTTCTATAATAATAAAATCCGATATAAACTCGAAACTCAGAAAAATATATGAACCGGGCTTATACTAATTAGGCCTAATAGTATATAAGTTTGAGTCTATAATAACGAGACTCAATAAGTCAACCCAAAATTAATTTATATGGCCCGATTGCAAGCTCGAAACACAATCAAGGATTAAACTTACTTGTTACAAAGCTCAAAATTCAAAGAATCACATACCTATTACCAAGTGCATTTATTGGTTTATTAGGTGTGGAATTAGTATCAAATTGATTTTTTTATTTAATGTAATAATTGTTTTATTTTGATCAAACGGTCGGGAAATTATTAATAAAGAAGTTTCCGAATAAATTTATATTTTAATTACACCACTATCAGCAAAATGAAAAAGGAGTTAACTGTAAAATCGCTAGCTTTGATATAAATAAAATCGCGTTTTGAAAGCGCGACTGTTGGTGTTGCCTTAGCTGTCCAGGACTCCACTGGAAGTATGCTGCTCGCCCGCTCACTCTCAGATTCTTTCTTCTCGCGCAAATTCTCTCTCTAAAATTGCACTTTCTTTCTCTACAGCTGCACTCAATCAACCCCTCACTCTCGTAACCTATTCTCTCTCTCTCTCCATCTCCAACTGAGTTCCTTCAATCAGGTATTTTTTCGTCATTGAGTTAACCAGATCATGCCGAGGACGACGTTTATTTGATTTGTTTCATGTTTTTTTTTGGCTCTCGTGACGTGATCGGTGAAATCCGTGGAGTAATTTCTGTTCGTCTTTCAAATGATCGAGAATGTATGTTTATGTGAACCGAAATATTTGCTGGTTTGAGTTTCTATAGTCGCCGGTGCTTTTGAATTCCAAGGGTTTTGTTGTTGGTTCATGTCACGGGTTAGATCTGGTGGTGAAATTGGCGAGGAACTCGTAATTGCTTGTTTTTCGTTGTTGAGTTTTGTGTTTTGTGTTAATGTTACTGCATATATGACCGCATTTTGAGGAAATTTTGTTAGGGTTTATAGTGCGATGCAGAAACTGAGCTGATAAGGGTTTATAGGAAAATGTCAACTCATTTTGATTGTTTGTCGTCGTGTTAGATGATTTTCCCCCCTATTTTAATGTGCCGTGATTTTGGTTCTTCGTTGGAAGCTGACTGTTTAACCATTTATATATTTAAATAATTTATTTGCTTCACTATCCGAGGCATCTTCTGTTGGAATTTTAAAGTTTTGCACCCAAAACCTGGTCGTTGCAGTTACTCTTTAACTCACTATGCAGGAATGTATAAGTACCTAAAATCAGCTATCTCTTGCTAAATGAATCTATTTCAGCATTTTTACGTTTTAATATATTTAGCTTAGCTTCCGTCAATCGATTTTGTTTATGAAATATGCACCGAAATGTAGGTTGGATTACTATCGAGCTCGAGCTCGTTTTGTACTGTTATTCTCTCTTCTCATTTTTGTATGTACCTGTTTAAATGAGATTCCATTATCGCATTACTTAAACTATTTTCTGGTAGGAATGGCCACACAAACTGCAAACCCTCCGCCAGCTCCGAGTGCTCAAGTGGTTGGAAATGCTTTTGTTGAGCAGTATTACCACATTCTCCATCACTCCCCTGAGTTGGTTTTCCGGTTCTACCAGGATGTAAGTGTGCTGAGTCGCCCAGATCCTAATGGCCTTATGACAACTGTGACCACTATGAAAGTAAGTATATTGAAATTGTACATAGTGTTGAGTTTGTATCTGAATTAAGTCTTAATATCGTCAACTTCTTACCATTTTTTGTTTTGGGAATTTGCTTAAACCTGTTCGAATGTGATTTTCCTGAGGCCGTTTGCCTACTATTGTCGTAGCACTTAAATTACTGGTATATTGCACTTCCACCCATGATGTTTTTCACTTATGGCTAGCTGTATCTGCATTTTTCTGTTATACTGTGTCCATTCTTTACATTTGTTTAGTGTCATTCCTCTGGGTTATGGAAGATTCATTATGCATGTTAAATCAGTTTTTGGTAAAGTAATGTAGAACAATATGTTAATTACGAGTAACATAATAACTCTGTTCTGGTTCGGGTTCTGATGCGATAAAATAGTAACAAAACAGTGTCGTTTTTCATGTTTTACCAGAGTATAAATGATAAAATATGCTCTCTGGACTACAAGAACTACAAGGCAGAGATAAAGACTGCTGATGCACAGGATTCTTATGCCGATGGAGTGATTGTGCTGGTAACCGGCTACTTGACTGGGAAGGACAATCGAAGAAGGAAATTCACACAAACCTTTTTTCTTGCTCCTCAAGACAAAGGCTACTATGTTTTAAATGATCTTTTTAGGTATGCGGAAGAGAGTGAACCAGAGATTAGCTCAGGGCTGGTAACTGGAGTTGTTGAGGCACCACCTACTTCTGTGGCTCAAGATCCAGGTTGGTTTTATAATTGCTTCTCGGTTTACCATCTGTGTGTTGAAATTTACCTTTACTTGGCCTTGTCATCATTTTCATTTTGTTGCCAGAGCCGCTTCGCGTGGTGGACTCTCCCATTGTGAACCATGCAACTCCCCAATTAGAGGAAGTTGAGGTCATTGAGGAGAAAATTGATGAGCAAGGGACGGACGAGATTGAAGTCAGTGATGACAAGGATGTTTTGGTGGAAGCTGAATCACATTCAAATGAGAATCATGTTTCCGCGGTTACAGACCCAGTTACTTCTTCATCCCAGGACGACACTCCAAAGAAATCATATGCTTCAATTCTCAGTTCACTGACAAAGAAGAGCCCAACCAAAGTCTATGTTCCAGCTAAGACAGCAAAAGTTCCCGTGAAAACTGAGAAGCAACAACGACAACCAGCTGCAGAGGAGTCAGTAATTGAATCATCAGTCCCTGTTGCACCTAATAACGCACCAGAAAGTAAAGATGCTCAGGACGAAGGTATTTTTCCTGCAGTTTCTTTTTTCTAACTTGCATGCATGAACAAGCACCACGAGCGTTACTATTTAAGATAAGGTAGCATAATATTATAAGACAAAGTCACGAATGTTACCAATATAGGCATGCTGCTCGTAGCACAGAGCTCAGTAGCTCATTTGTGACCCAGTCTCAGTATGTGACAAGAGTTGTATATCTGCATATCTTTTACACTCATGAGCCATTTTTCTAACCTCTAATTATTTTCATTCTGCTTTATTTCTTACAGTTGAAGGTCATTCCATATATGTTCGCAATTTGCCTCTAGATATTACGGTTTCTCAGCTTGAAGTTGAATTTGAGAAATTTGGAACTATTAAGCCAAATGGGGTCCAAGTCAGAAGTAATCAGTTGGTTTTA